TGTCAACGTCATTAAGCTCCTTATCCTCATGGATCTTTTTAAATTGACCCCAAAATGTAAAGGTAACTTAATAATTGTCCATCGAATTTTTTAATTTGAATTTTCGGCAACTTGTACCGTTTTTCATTAGAAGCACTTATGCTACTATCCGTGTTAGAACTCGTATTGACACTACGGTCAACCGCATTATCTATATTCTCTTTCACCCGACGATTAAGCGTGATAAACTCATCTGAATATTCTTCGCAGCCTATGACCTCTGTTTCCAGATCATCTTCAGCGGCTTTTCCCTTAATCATTGAATCTAGTATTTCTGAATCGCAAGATCTCAACTCAGCAATTATCATCTGCAACTTCAAAATTTTGTCTTTCAATACATCTCTATCCGCTTGAACATCTTTACAAAGTTCGGTTTTTAGAATCTTAGCCGTCCTAGTAAAGGCACTGCGTGCCGTTGCACGCTTTTTCTTCAACATATCAACATCCATTTTATCTTTAAATGCAGACCCACTTAAAACTCAAAATCTGTAATGTTATCATCAATCCGACAAATCCTCAAAAACGTCTTTACTCAGCAATTCCAAAAATATAACTCAATATAATAAAAATGAATAACAATATGTCATAACATTCATAATACAGCAAAACAAAATTATTTTGAATATCACAGTAGAAGATTTAACGCATAACCTTTTCTACGTTTAGACGATTTAGCGCATAGCATTTCAATTGAAAATTGAAACTAATTCGAATACAAATACGAAATTCAACATTGCAGACAATAAAACGCATTACGTTTCCAAATAACACTTAAATTAATATTTACTTCTACAATAATATAATATAGCAAACACAATACTTTCTCAACTATATTAATATAATAATCAAAACACATTCGAATCAGGATCGCAATCCTGGCTGGCTCGCCATTTTGTTTATGTCTAGGAGCAAAAACAATTTTACTTTACACCTGACTGCCACTGGCTCCGACACAGCAATGTGAATACTCTACATCTAAAATTTTAAACAACATTCCAGAATTTTAAATGTTTATTTAATAGAATTCTATTCATATATTTGCAAGTTATACACAATAACAAAATTTGAACTTATCTGCACCAGCGTGAATAAGCCTGGCATAATATTCTGAACTCGACGCAACTTTAGGAGGAAAAATACCGCAAATTCTAACACAAGGTTTCATCCTTTCCAACGCAGCTAATTTTCTAAATATATTTTACTAATATCCGCAGCGGGACAGCGGATTCATTTCATTTATCCAAAACTCAAATGTTTTAACGCAATAGTATCGCAAAGGAAACATCGACTCAAAATCAAAATATTAAAATCCATAGAATATCATCCGCTTTTGCCATTCCAGCATTGCGAAGTTTTTCTTCCTGCAGCTGTTGCCAGACTTATCCTCGCTGTATGATGAGAGGTACAACACATGCCTTCTCTGGGATTCGAACCCGGGGCCTTCGGTACCGCAGTAGGCTCAGTGACCACTATACTGTCTGGGTGGATTAATTCCCTTCTAAAACTTTGTAGAAGAACTGATTATATAGCTATAAAATTTATTACACAAATTTTAATATTTAGTAATTAAACTTTAAATTAGTAAAAAACGTAAGGTACATCATCAATTTTCATGGAATAATATGCTGACAATATGATAATTTCATTCAAATATCATTGAACGTCCATATTTTTAAGATGAAAAAATGTTTTACAGTTAGAACTCGATTGGAACTAATTTTGGAAATGAAAATTGTAGTTATATGCTTGTAGGATGAGATACAGCTACCGATCATGGGAACTTTCCAAGGGAAGACAAATCTCTTACACGATACATGTGAAGAAAACAACAAAAGTTCCATACAGCCAGCCAGTTCATACATCATCGAAGAAAAGGAAGGCAAATGATCCGTATACTTCAGTTTTGCTTCTCTGTTGCTTGTCGCTAACAGTTAATAATAAAGTACTCCAATAGTCATATTCTTTCTGAAGAATTTTTTTAAAAACAAATTGTGAACTTTTCGAAATCTTTTAAATTTATAGAAGAAGCTACAATGTGCAAAGAAATGTCAACAATTTTTTTTACTCTGAAACTAAATAAAAATTAAGCAGTTGATCAAGCAGTCGGTTAATAAAAACATGTTTAGATATTAATACATATTTTTTTCATCTGTCAACACAGAGGATTTGTAAAAGTTGCACAGAAGTACTTGCCGCATCGTAAGTCTTGGCTTATATGTTATTTATGGTGAAAGAAGCTGACAAAGTTTGAAAATATTTTTTTTTTTTTTTTGTTGTTGTTGTTGTTGTTGTTGACTGAGTCTTATAAAACAGATCCGATGTTACTGATTCCTCAGCTAGATTCAGAACTGCCCATTCTTAAGTAAGATCACAATGCCAAAAAGTGCAGCAGTTTGTATGAGATAATTTTACACTTTATAATTTCACTACTAATTTATGTTATATTATTTGTGATAATCTTTCCAATTGTTTTCCTTTCCAAATAAGTTTAAGAAAATACAAGCTACAAAAATAGATGAGCTGTGTGAATAATTCATATTAAAGTAGTTACAGGAAATATTATTAAATTTCCTATATATAATGAAATTCACATAAATCATATTATAATTTAACAAATATTCTCTAGTATAAAAACTAATATAAATTAATATTTAATTAAGAACAATTATTATATTATTATTATTATTATATTTTGATAGATTGTATATAGTTTATTTTAGGTTTACATACATAATTCGTGTAGGAGATATTTTCTGTAGGCAAGAGTTTCTAAATTACTTTGGTTTTCTGCTCTTAACTGACATTTAATTAATTTTAATTTGGTCATTTACTTACTACTTTCTCAAAATTCCACTAATTTATATTTCTTTTTAGTAATTCACAGCATTTGGTTTTACTTTCGGTTTTGAATTTTACTTTTACCCTAGCTTATATGGATGATGAAACACGAATTGAGTAACTGAAGAGTTAGGGTTTGAAGGCAACTTCTCCCTGATAAGTCTGGCTCCTACCTGCTCAACAATTATTCACTTATGCAATTTAAGTTTTTAGAATAATATATTTTTTCATGGTTTTAGATACGTGCACTTAATTTACATAGGCTCTTAGAATTTAAATGATATTGTAAATTAGTTCGCAGCAATAATAATTTTTATTTTTATTTTTTATTGTTGCAATTAAAATTTTCTTAATTAAATTTTATTTTATATTAGCTTTATACGAATAGAGAATATTTGTTAAATTCAAATTTCATTTCTTGCAGCAATGGCGCACGAGAATTATTTGAATTTAATTGAACTTTACTGTATTCTTGTAAATCATATTATAAGATATTTTCTCCCTCTTTTCCGCAGGTAACTGGAAGCACACTCGACGCGTATTCGAGAGGTCCACAATTCGACGTGGTTTTCATCTCTCCTGTTTCTGAAAAACTAAGGACTCTACAAGTAGCTCCGAACTAAAAGGTGGTGGACGACAATTCGTAACCACCAAGATTTGGCGATTGGGTCCCCTAACTAACAGTCGCCCTTTCAAAGTAGGAGTATATAAGGTATTCTCTCCATCCTTTCCGCATGCCTACGTGGTGAAATGGGATGCACACTCGACGCGTATTCGAGAGGTCCAGGTTCAAGTCCCGGCGGGAGCACTACAATATTTTCACGTTTCCAGCTTTAAAAACCCTAATGATTCTATAATAAAATTGTAATTTGTATTTACTTACATTTAGAGTGAAAATAATTATTTACTCGTTGTTTGTTAACCATTGAATTAGTATAAGTTGCAGAAATTCATTTGAATTTTGTCAGAAAACATTTTTACTGAAAGACTCATGTTTTCAATCCGTGCAATGCCCATTCTTTATATTTTGAGCGTTTTTATGTTTAAATACCATCTAAGGTCTAATATCTAATATCTAAGGTCTCTAATTGAGAGTTAAAAGTATTATAAGAGCGTTTTAAAAATATGCTGGCTGTAGTTGGAGCTGAAATTTCTCATCTGTAGTAGCACCTGATATTTAGTGCTTCCTGGGAAGATATAAATTTAAATATATATGTTATGTCGAATTTCTCATTTTTTTTCAAAGATGAGGGTATTTACACATGTATTAACTTTAAGATACTCTGCAATTATACAGAATTTGGGCAATGCGGATACGGATTTATTATAGATGCGGAAGCGTCACTCGCTCAATAAAAAATTCCCTAAAAAGCTATGACCTTGAAATTTAATGAGGTGAATGCTCCAAAGAATAAGACATGGAAGAAGACTGGAGACCTTTGTCCTGACACAGTGATGACTTTGAGAGATGGTTGAAAGGATAATATCTCAATCATGCAAACATCAAACTAATGAAACAATAGGATGCCAGAAGTGTAAGCTACCACACTAGTGGCGGCCGGAATCAAGAAGTGAAATCAAACTATGTACAACACAACGTTTGGACGAAGTCGATGAGACTAAGGTCATGCGATCCTATTGTTAGTCTGGCTACAAATCACCAGGCTACATTCTTAAGGATTAATATCACGGAATTCAAAGTAAATTTTCCTTTTCAACATCCAAAAACTTCTAAAAAAGTATTATATTATATTTGAATATTCTTTTATTAGAAAGTTGCGTTTTGTAACAACTTATGGTTGGAATACAAAGTTTTTTTTATGTTACTTCTATAGCAACACATAGGAAAGATTTTCCTCTAAATAGTTTAAAAACAGTTAAGGTTAGTGTTTTTAGAAATTATTTGCAATAAATATGGAAAAAATTACTATTGAAATTGAAATAAGAAGCCGTAAAATGAGAGAAATATTAAACAAAAAATTCACCGAATAGCAAACTGAGCATGTATATAATATTAAATAAATACAAATCAAAATAGCAAACATTTAAAAAATTCTTAACATTACAAAGAAAGCAGAACTAGAAAAAAAAAAAAAAAAAAAAATGGCAGAAACAACGCTTACCTTGAATCGCTAGCTCAGAACTGTAACTGGAACTTCCGTCAGTATTCTTGACAATACATGTATAATTCCCAGGACTATTATAATCAGCTGAGTTAATGGTAAGCACACTAAAATCATCATGGTTCTGAATTTTAGTTTGTTGAGAATTATAAATAGGTAATCCATCTTTGTGCCATTGGAAAGTTAATGGTTCTCTGCCAGTTGCTGCACAGAACACTTTTATCATTTGACCAAATGTCACGTTTTTTGAGAAAAAAAGTGGTTGAATCTTGGGAGCTCCTGAAAAAGCAGAAAATTAAAAAATAAAATACATATTAATCTTAAACACAAAACTAATTTTAAAAATACAAATTTAAACTGAAGTCATATAAATTATTGCATCCTCACTTTTATTATACACATAAACTGAATCTAAACAATTTTGCTTTTAATTTTAATCAAATTATTTAAGTTTAATTAGAAACCTAATTACGTGATTTTACCGATATACAAGTCTTAGAAAGTCCTCTATGAATGCATCCTTCCCCTTAGGCACACAGCCTTTGAGAGCTTTGCCATAATCAAATGAACCGAACGAAACCAACTAATATATAAGTTATATTTGAAATTTGATTTAATTAATGACTGATTATTTAGCTAAATGCATATATATTCACCTTATATCTCTAATTTTAATTAATACATTATATTTTATGATGATTAAAAATGCTACACAGTTTTTTTACTTTGAAAATTACTACAGTTCACTACAGGTTTTTATTTAAGAAATAAAAAAAAAAAAAAAGAAAAAGAAAAAGAAAAATACAGATGGCAGATAAGTTTTTCCCTCAATGTATTCTTCATATTACCAGAAAAGACACGCTCTGCCTTAGTAAAACATAAATCTTTTTCTGAGATTTGAGCAATAATAATAGTTACTTGCCACTACGCTTATGTATCAAATTTAATTTTATCGAACTCATGTCTGATTTGTCACATTGGCTATGCATAAGTATGTATATTACGTTACCACGAAAATAAATACATGAAAAAACAAGCACGATTGATTAATGTAAAACATGCTAATTCATGTACCGCAGAAAATAAATACTAGAATCAGTCCCTTTTTACAATATTTCACTTTATTTAAACAGCTCGTATAATCAAGCTAAATGTCAAAAATACAGCGAAACATGTCTTGTCTGCACTATGACTGACATTAACATCAGGAATAAAAAATTTCCATAAATCTCTGCGTATTGACGTAATCTCTTTACACTTTATTCACACACAAAAAAAAAAAAAAAAAAAAAAAAAAAAGAGTGTTGCAATCCCAAAAAAAAAAAAAGACCCGCATGGAAAATAAACCTGTTTTGCAATCACAGTACAGATGCTTCGCAAAAAATGCAGCCGAACCTTCGCGACAAACAATGAATCAACAAAAATAAGTTGCTCTGCTGGTAGAACATTTTATAATTTGATGTCATTTTGAAGAAAATGCAATTAAAATTATGTAATGGTAAAGTGTATTTTAACTACAGCTTTATTTAAATTATAATTTATCGTTGTTTCTTTCAGTGAAACATAGAACTGTTTAACTATCCAGTTTTTTAATATAATTGTTTTTTGTTGCACTATTTCACTATCTTTCAGCTATTTATTTAAACTTTGTTATTACATTGAAGAAATATGACTATATGCTTCAGTACACTTAAAGAAAAGAGAAAACTTTACGTCATAATCTTTCATTCATTCTTGCTATGCAGCAGTTACTACAATCAGATTAGTACAGTATTACATCAGTATGTTCACAATTCTACAGCTCTTACTGTAACTGACTAATAGACGAAATTCAACTCTATTTTCTTATATTTCGAAAGCGCGGTTTAAGATAAACGTAGGCTGTCTGGAAAGTTTCCGATTTAACAAAGAAAAAAGATAATTTTTCTCCAAAATTACCTTTATTTTTAGAAATATTCTCCTTGTAAGTATATACATTTCTTCCATCGATGCCTTGATCCTTTTATAGCGCCTAAATAATATGTGGAATCTTTCTCTCTCCTCATATGACGGAAATCTTTGTTTTCCAAATGCTTCTTTTAGCTTAGGAAACAAACAAAATACACTTGGAGCCAGGTTTGGCGAACAGAACGGATGGTTAAGTAGTTCGAATAGTAATTCATGGATTTTCGCTATAGCAACTCCTGAAGTGTGAGATGGAGCACTGTCTTGGTGAAACAAATTTTTTTCCATTTACAAATGTAGTTGTTTTTTCGTAATTTCTGCCTTCAGCTTGTCAAGTAATGTTGCACAGCATGGTGTTCCCTTTTCAAGATAATCTATTGAGACAATCTCATAGCTGTCCAAGAAAACTGTTGCTATCACTTTCCTAGCAGAAGGAACATTTTTTGCCATTTTTGAACACGATTCTCCCGTTGCATCCACTGTGTTGACTGTGTTTTTGTTTCTGGGTTGTAATGATTAATCCAAGTTTCATCTACAGTGATTAATAGTTGAAAATACTTAAGTTAATTGGGACGCGTTTTGGGTCCAAAGTGAGCAAACGCAGCATCCAACATGCAGCCAGCTTGCGCATATATAAATCTTGGTTAAATGTGTGGCAAATACGTTCTGTGGAAATGCTAATTGCCTCTAACTTTGATTCGATGGTCGTCAGCACCATTTGGTGGCTTTTAGCGATGTTTTCTTCAGTGGCTGCAGTTTTGGCCGTCCTGAACGTTCATTGTCATCCAAGCTGGTACGCCCACGTTTAAATTTAGCCGCTCAAAATTCCACAGTAGTAAATGACGATGCAGAGTCCCCTACACTATGTCCAACTCCTCTTTAATATGAGTAGGCGGATTACCTTTGAAAAACAATGTTAGATTTTCACATACTAGTATTGTTCTAACATGCGCTTTTAACGAAAGTCAAGATTTCTCTGAAATGGCTTGCTAATTTTTCCCATAATTTCAATCTACACAAAGAAAAAGTTTTTTTTTTTTTTTCTTTTTTTCATTTAGTTTTCGCACTTTCTTTTTTCTCATTAGATTTTGAAACTAGACTCGTTTACTGTTTTCAGAATGGTATATTGTTCATGCAAAATAATTTAATTTTTCCAACTCTTTATTCCAAATTGAATATTTAATTTCTTTGTATATGTATTATGTGAGTTTGCAATGCTTAAGTGGATTTTGGTTTAGGACTTTAGCATTGCTTTTAATTGTATTATATATCTAATCATTCATTTACACAGAAAAGAAAAATAAATTGATTACTCAATATTTGGCATCAAATATAATATACATTACTGTTAATTATATTTGTAATAAAACGTACTTTTTATGTTCAGGAAAAAAAGAAAAGAAAGTTTATCACTTTACAAATAACGTAAAAATCTACTAATTATACTGATATAGAAAATAATTATTCTGTAAATGTATTATGTATAAAAAATAATTATTAAGTACATAATCAATTAATATAAAAATTATTACATTTTTTGTATAATAAATAACGTAACACGTTACATGTAAAAATTCAATCATTTTTATAGTAATCTAATTCTGTTAATTACAGAAACGACTGCCTCCCCAAGCGAACAAGTAAGCACCATGTCAGTTACCGGTGGCTGATAGTAGACTTTCCGCTCGGACAGTGCCACAGACCGGTGCCTAGGGTTGTCAACTCTGTTGAATCGCAATAAAGGGCATTAGAAAATGTTAATTGCTTAGTATTAATTACAAAGAATTAATTCTTTTTTATTATTACTATATTTATTGGAATATAGCTGTAGAATCAATTATTAATGCTCATGTGAACAAACAATTGCTTAAAACACTAATTCAGAAGTCAAACAACAAAAATCAGCGTTAATTTACAAAATTTGTAAATCTGTGAAACAATCTGTGTGTAATAATCTGTGAAAATTTTGTAAATTAACGCTGATTTTTGTTGTTTGACTTCTGAATTAGTATTTATTCGGCGTGTTATTGTGTCTTAATTGCTTAAAACTTCAAAATAAATAAATAAATAAATAAAAATAAAAAATGTTTTAGTTTACTAATTTAGTAAATAACATATTGAATCATTAAACATAAAGAATGCTTTATAAAAAGACTGATTAGAATTTTTTAAAAATGTTAATTCAAACATACAGGGCATATCAGTACAGCGTGGACAAACTTTTAGGAGAGATACGAGTGCACCTAGACGATGGGAAATCACATAGGAATTGCATGGTCGGAAACGCTTTCCTGACGTGGTAGTGACGACACAAAAGTCAAGAAAGAAAGGACACAAACGGGGTGAGAAAAAATTTTTATTATTCGGAGTACAACAAAAAGAAAGAAAAACAACATAAACAGACAGCGATCTTCAAAGAAGGTGTTCGAAATTACGACCCGGACTGATGCAAGAACCGTGCGTCATGCATTATCCATTCGTGATGCAGATCTTCCATGCGCCAGACAAATGAGGCCTGCATTACGGTTCAATTTCGAATACCTTCTTTAATGACGATCGGTGTTTGTTTTTGTTCTTATTTGTAGGTTTCTACCATACTAAACGTAATAAAACATGTTTTTTCTCACTCTTTGTGTTTTCCTTTCTAGCATTTTGTGTCGTCAACACGGCGGCAGGAAAGCGTTTCCGACCATGCATTGCTATGTGATTTCCATTCCTCCTGAAAGTTTGTCACTGCTGTACTGATACACCCTGAATAGGAAAACTTTAGAAGGAAAAAAAAACTGTTTTTAGTTTTATGGATATCTGATTGTTTATGCCATCTTATTGCTAAAAAAGTCATATACCCAATTTTAAAAACACTTTGACGAATAGTACACGTTGCTTCTTTTATGGATTAATAATTGCCGTTCACCATTTATAATTTTTTTCCCAGTTGCTGTTACACAAACGTATTCGCTTGGTCATTTTTAAAGCTAAACTTTAAATTAAAAAAATTACACTGCTTTACACCGACAGCCGAGCGGTAAATCGTTGAACAGTGGCAGCTCTGTCGGAGTTTTGACCATAGCGAAAGGGCTCGCTGAATGGATCCTTTCATGGTTTTCTAAAGGAAACTCAGTTAATTCACAAGTCAGAAAGTTTCCTTTAGAATGTCCTTCACAAAGGCATTCCCCTGTTTAGGTAAATAGTCCTTGTGCACTTTGCCATAATAAGCTAAACCAGTCCAAAACCAGAAAATATGCATCACTTTTTTTTTCGGCAGATTCTGAACAACTTTCTTTCAAATTAAAATATATAAATTTTTATGTAATGTACATATTTTTATATG